AATTTTATTTTTTTTTACTTTTCAAAGAGAAAAGCAAACTGGGGGAGGGGTGGGCAGGGAGGAATATGTGCAACAAAAATGAATGAATGGAAATCCAAAGTCTCTGTACACTTTCATTAAAATGAAAAAATAAAAGAAACAGTAAAAAAGAGGATAAGAATGGTTAGCTCAGCTCAAAGAATATAATCAGTGTAACTAAAGGAAACATGTAAAACTGTTGAATTGGTGTATATTTCACTATATATTCTCAACAACAACAAAATAATACATCTTTTTAAAAAGAAAAAAGAAAAGCCATGGCTGAGATATTGGAAAGGACTGCTTAATGAACATTTCCATGGAAAAATGATAAAGGTCACTGAATTTCCCTGAAGTTTTACTTCAATTCATTTTAAATGAAGTGAGCAATGGACTGCTGAATGGAGAAACACGGTTCAAATTCCTAGAGCCATGCAATTAACAGAAACTTGCAAGTTTCAGGTATTGAAATACAGTTTTGGAGGAAATATCAAGGAACAATATAAATTTCTCTATTGAATGCCCTGAAAGTTGATGGAGACCATTGAAGCCTTTAATGAGATTTCTGAATTCTTAAAAATGTGGATTCCCTTCTGATATATAAGCCCTTAGAAATAAGAATATGACAAATAGTATTGCGTACATTTGGTTTCTGATTACGAGGCTTGTGGGTTACCAGAGAATGGAGGACAGATTTTTCTTCACCCCTTTTTAACTTAAGGAAGTTACTGGCAATACAAATGAAGATCTCCCACCTAAACAATAGTCGTTGTCAACCCAATAAACTATGATTAGAGGAGTAAAATATGGAAATGCCTCAGGCAGCTATCCTTAACAAGAAAGTCAGAGCAAGGAGTGCTGTGAGAAATTCAACCTTTATTGTGAAGTGAGATATTTTGCAGATGATACAATAAAAGTAATAATTTAATTTCTCATTTAAAATTGCACCTACTGTGAACAGGCATCTTGGGACATCTAAAGTGGTAAATAGGTGAAGTGCCAAAAATTGGTTATAAAATTGAAATATTTAAAACAAAATTACTAGTATACACCAGTTAGATCAATTAAATCTTAAAAAAATGTATTTTTGTCTGGGTGATAACTTATTAAGGAAAGGAAACAAAGGATGGAGGAGAAAGGGAAGTAGAGGCAGGCTAGATGAGGGAGGAAAGAGGCATGGAAGGTAGACCAGGAAAGAAGAGAGACTGAAAGCAGAATAAAGCAAAGAGGTGATGGAAGTGAGGAGAGAGGGAAGGCAAGAAAAGGGGGAAGAGAGAGAAGAGAAGAGGGGTGGGGGGTTGAAAGATATTTCATTTTTTATGTTTCCCTAATGACTACATTGGTTGTGACTAAATGAATCTTTAATTCCCAGATTACTGACTGTAAAATCATGAATACTTAATTTAAACACAGAGAAAAATTGGAAGCCATCATCAATTTAATTTCTTGTTCTTTGTGTGTCTTGTGGATATGAAAGAAGTCTTAGTAATTCATCTTCCTTTATTAAAAAAAAAGTAAAGTGTGTGCCAGGACTTTCAAAATCCAATCACTCAGTGTTAAGAAGATACAGAGCAGGAATAAAAATTGAATTTCAAACTATCACAAATGGAGACTTCCCTTAGTTTAACTCATGGCACGAAAGAATCCAAGAGAGTGCACAAAAATTATGAAAGGGAACTAGGAAGTATAAAAATACATTAACAATGATGCCATTCTTACTATTTCAAAGGGAACGCTAAAAATGTGATAAGCAATAGGTCACAGCATTAGGTATGTCTATCAATGAAATTGAAAGAAATGAGGATTCACAAGGCCAATTCTCAGTTTTACTACAACTCAAAAGAGCAGCAAAGAACAATAACAGGTCCTTGAACTCCACAATATTTTAACTGATTTAAACTACCCATATTTTGCTTTTTTCTGCTTCCAAAGTACTCTCTCCATCACTATACCCTTCTTTGTTAAGGGGAGTCTCATAAGAAAACTTGCTGGTTTGCATCATCAAAGAAATATGAACTAGCCATTAGTCTTCTAAAAATTGAGTACATTTTAACTAATATAGTTTGTTTGTAATTATATCAAGTAGAATCTTAAGCATCCTGTTAATTTCAGTTAAGGATTGGGAAATATGTCTCTCTGTATGTATCTGAATACATAAAATTGTAGCACTCAATCAACATAGCATGAAGTATCATTCTCATGATCAATTATCTCCCCTGTCATGATGGCATGACTAAATCAGTCGGATGAATTCCAAATTCTGGATTTCAACATCAACTTTCACCCTTGGTCTCCAAATACAGAGGTCTTGGTAATATTGATTTATTACGTAATAGATCCTAACCTGGTCAGAGAATTGCCACATCATTAGAACAAAGACAGCTAGAGAGGATTCTGAGTCCCCTATTTTGAAATTCTTTAGAAAAAACAATTTTTGCAGGCAATGCATGATTTGAGTAAAAATAAAAATTAACATGGATGAGTGTGTATGTGTCTGAGTTTGTAGAAGGTTAAAGTCTATTAGAAAGGAAAGGTTAAAATAAATACATATTTTCATGTGCTTAATAAAAAGAAAGTTATTAGAGTTTGTTTTAAAATATTTACCTCCTTGAGTTCTCCTTCTGTATTTAGATATTCTGTAACTCCACTGATAAGTTTAGAATTCATAAATAATGCTTCTCCATACCTCAAAAGAAAAAAAAAGTATTCATGTCAATATAGGTAATAAGAACTACGACTATAAAGAGTAGGGAGCTCTTGACTTTGTGGTTAGGAGTTGCACTGCCAACCCAAAGGCTAAACAGATAAAATCCACCAACTGCTCTGTAGGAGAGAGATGCTCACCCCCCTCTTGCACAAGTTACTCTCTGAAAAGCCTACTGGATGGATAGCTCCAAGTAGGTTTTGACTCAATTGTGCATAACAACACAACAATAATAAAAGAGTTGGCATGATGGTACTTAACAGCAACAATAACTCTAAAGATATTATACAGTATTTCTCAAAAGTTCATTTGAATAGTATTCTCTGAATAGCCATTAAGAACGTTGAGTTTTCAAGGTCAATTCTCTAGGAACCAGAAGAGATATATGGCTTTGGGGTTTTATCAGATCCCATATGATTTGGCAAGAAGTATTTTAGGCAGGTATATGGATACTACAAATGTTCAGGCATTGAATTATACAACAGAGAAAGAAAGAAAATAGCACTTCTAATCCTTGCAGAGAAGTCGCAGTGGCAAGTTCTATCAAGACGTCTAAGATTTATCATTCACAATGTCTTTGGATGTGCTCACCAAGTTGTAAAAAGAAATCTGGAGAACAACCACTTGGCCAAATGACTGGAGGAGATCTATATTTGCTCCCATGCCAAAGAAGGGTGACCCAACAGAGTGTGGAAACTATAGAACAATATCATTG